GTGGGTGGGTGTGTGTGTGTGTGTGTGTGTGTGTGTGTGTGTGTGTGTGTGTGTGTGTAAACAGTCTTTGACTTGAAGTTTCGAGTTGAAGTTCGTATAAGTAGAAGTGGAGTTTAATTTGAACTGATACAGCTGAAAACAACTGGATGCAGAAATAAAGTATAGACGATCTCTATGCATTTGGTGCGATTTTTACTGGGGTGAATGTTACATGACCCTTTGACTCGTTACTACATTCACAGAGTGATTTTCGAGCTATGTAAACAGTATTAGGGTGGTTTAAAAGAACTTGAGGAGTAAGAGAGATTGGGAGTACCGGTATCTCTTTATTCAGCTCAGACATGCTAAGAGCGACCCCCCCCCCCCCCCCTCCTTTCCCTTTTTTGCAAGCACAAGATCCAATGTGTAATCTTTAAATGACATAATATACAATAATGGCTCACAAAAGTGTAATCACACACTGATTGCCAAACATGTTATATATGTATTTTATCTAAATAACATGCAATAATCACCCGATAATTAGGATATGTCTTTCGAGAACTGCAGGAAATGTAGGATAAAGTATAATCATTTAAACATCCATTGATCCAGACTAGTTGTAAACTTAATTGGTATTTGAATAGACTCAAAATACACAAATTATTGTTTTATGTGTTATTACTGTGCGTAGTTTCTTTGAGGGTCGTTTCACATAAAAGTACATCGTAGTATTTAATCCCAAACTAATAGCTGGTTACTTCTCTATATTACCGAGAAGAAAGTATCAGTAAAATACGAGTTCACCTTGGCTCTTTATCTGACGGAGAGCGCTTCGTTTGAGCCAGTGTGCATATCCCGCATGAAAATAAAACTTTTCTTCAAGCTGCAAAGAAAGGATTTCAATTTGATGATGTATACGAACCAAACATCCATTGCTCACCCAAATCTGCCTGATCTGATAAGTGATGAGGTGGAGCGTATTTTCACGGTTCTGGTTATTGTGGTTCTGGGGGACTTCGTGTGCTTGTTCGGCATTGTTTCAAACATTCTCAACATCCTTGTGTTTATAAAACAAGGAACATCAGACACCATTAATATCAGTCTCCTCAGCCTTGCCATAGGGGACTTGGGCGGACTCATCACTCAACTTTGGTTAAATATTTGCGTGAACCCGTGGTTTCGGCAATCAGATGTTCCCTTCAGTCCCATGGAAATACAAACATTGTCGGCGGGTTTTCCCAGTAGATATTTTAACAAAGTGACAGGGTGGGTAACTGCCTTCATCACATTCGAGCGGTGTCTTTGCATAGCTCTACCCCTCAAGGTGAAATCCATCGTTACCAGGAAAGTAACAATCACCTTTAACGTGTCTATGTTTCTGTTGCTTGGAATGACTTTGTTTCCCGTATTCTACACGTCGTACTATGACTGGAAGTTCTTTCCCAGGTTAAATAAAACCCTTATTGGCATCTTTTATACAAAAAATAGACGACAGGTCATGGGAATTTCTCTTTTCATTACAGAATTTTTTGTCACATTTTCGTCCTTTGCCATCGTTCTTGTTTGTACTTTCATTATCATCGTAACCCTGAAGAGCAAAGCAAAATGGAGGAGCACCGCTTCCGGTATCTCTCGGTCCTCCGGAGAGAAAATGTCAGGAAAAGACAGAAGTGTAACACGGATGGTCTCCGTGATTTCAGCCGTCTTCATCGCCAGTTTCACGCCCAGCACAATTATGCTGACCACCAGGGCTCTTGTCCCGGACCTGAGTGTCAATAGTCGGTATTCCAACGTGAACACAGTTTCTGCTGGATTCGGTTTGTTGGCCGGTGCAGTGGGCTCCAGCACTAACATTTTTATATACTACAAGATGAGTTCCAAATACAGAAAAACTTTTCATGATATGCTCTGGAAAAAAGTTGATTCAGAGTTCATTTTTTTCCGTTGCCTTTTCCCTTTCGGTAAGGCGTTATGTTTGTACGAAAACAAAACCAGCAACTGTTTAGGTTGAACATTTTGTCCTGCTCCTGTTCGTTGTCGAGTCATTTTTATTTCTCTTCAGTGGATTGTTACTTAACTTTACCAAGTAGACATAACATCCCTCAGTTCATCTATCTTTTGTTTCTTTATCTGACAGTCGTTTCAGCATTCTATCTATCACACTCACACACACATACACGCCCACACACACCGACACATACGCTGGTTTGTTTGCACAATCTACCTTAATTGTTCTGAAACATACAAGTCTTGCCAAGGTCAACAACTTTCTCGTCTGCTGTTGGATTTTCCTCCGGGGACATTTTGATCCAGCGATATCGTTACCTCCCAGCTAACGATGTTACGGAAGCAACAGTATTGATCAACGTGCACCGCTTTCACTGTGGACTGATTTACCAAATGCCCTGCAATGTTGTTGGGAATAAATAAAATCCAAGATGCGAAAAGTGCATGTGGTGTTTGTTTGTTTGGTAAAAGTTTTACGGCGCTCGCAGTTTCATAGGATCATATGAGCACACGAACATAATTATGGTGTGTGGGAGGTTGGAGGGTGCCGCTGGTAGGTTGTAGTTCTTTGCAGTCTCTCAGTTTCTTCTGTCTGTCTGTCTTACCTTTTCCTAGCGCTAAATAACCATTATTGTGTCGGTGTGCTTTTCTTTATTCAAACAAGCAAACAAAAGGAACATGTGGCGTGATGATGGCCTTGTTGGCTATTCAGAAACCAAAAGATGACAGATCATGTGTGTGTGTGTGTGTGCATGTGTACGTATGTGTGTGTGTTTGTGTGAGGGTGGTGTTGCAATCCACCTCCCAACAAGTGTACGTCCTATCTGAATCCTCTTTGTCCATTCGGCCTCGCTGCCTGAAATAACTCTCGGTCAGAGCAGAAAAGGGGCTTTAGCGGAATGGTTATCGACTCTCCCGAGCCACAGCTCAAACGACCGAGTGGCATAAGCGCTTGCCAATAATTAGGGCGCAGTTGCTTTTCTACTATCGATTCGGCCCTCTCTCTTCTTTTCCACCCTCATGTTTTGTTGAACGTTGATAAGAAGCAACTTGATCAACAAACAAGGAGGCGAGCTCAAGTCTGAATAAATTGTTTCCATTCATCAAAACGTACGGACATTTCGCACTTTACCCCATCTAAATGACCTATTCTGCCGAATTATGCCTGTCATTAGCGCGCTCCCTTCCCTGTAAGGACTTTTTAATCGCATCCCAACATCCCATGGGCCCATCGACAGACGGCGTATTGATTGGATGCCGAAACACCACCCTTCGCTGTGATTGGCTGGGTTTTGGACCACGTGACCTTTATACGTCTCTGGAAAAGACTACAGAGAGCCAAGCTGATAGGATGTCGCCAAGTCTAATCTGCAATCTTGACTCTATTGTAGTAAAACAATTCAGTCTTTCCAAATATGAGGTTTTTATTTTCATAGTAGCTGGAGAAATGCCAGGTCCCCTGCGTCGTTGCTGGAAGCCTGCTCTAAATACCTTCCTTTCTTAAAGTTTGACTGTACAGAGACTCACCACAACGGCCCGCTTTGGTAGACAAAACACATAATCTTAGATATTCTTGAGAGACATGCGTTTACTCTAAATAAAAAAGAAGGGAAAACAATAACATCGACACAAAAATGTTGTTTAAACTGGGCTATGATCGTCAACTAAACTGTATAGCTTCCCAAAAGGCAACACGTCATATCATCGCATCGTTTTGACTGGTTTTGGTTTTCATGTGTAGCCTAAATACTTCCCATTTTCTGGGCTTGAGTGTCAGATGATTGCACCACAAAGAGATTTTAACTATTTATGAGCAGCTAAGAAGCACAGTTAGGTCAAATACGTCCATGTGTAAGAGCCTATGTGTTCCATAATAAACCCTGTTACCAGTTACTGGTGTGTGCGAGGGATTTGAAATAAAAGACGGACTTTTATGTATGAACACATAATAAAATAGCTTCACCCATTTAAAACAATAAAAATGAAGCTTTTACATGTCTGTGTCATACTTCTTTTTTCGTTTGTTTGGGGTTGTTTTTTCTGCTTGGGGGGTGGGGGAGG